GATGATGATGATGATGATGATGATGTTGATGATGTTGTTGATGATGATGATGTTGAGATGATGATGATGATGATGATGATGATGATGATGATGATGATGATGATGATGATGATCATGATGATGATGATGGTGATGCTGATGATGATGATGATGATGATGATGATGGTGGTGGTGGTGATAATGGATGGATATGATGATGATGGTGATGGTTGCGACGATAATTGTGATGCTGATTGTGTGATCATGGCGATGCTGCTGATGATGATGATGATGATGATGATGATGATGATGATGATGATGATGATGATGATGATGGCAGTGGTCGTGGTGATGGCAGTAGTGGTGATGATGACCACATCCGACGACGGAGACAGGCGGCGGCGATAGAAGCTGCGACAGGGGAAGGGAGGGGGGCAGGAGGAAGGGCGGGGTGGAAGGTCGGCTCTCCAGGCGGAAAGCGGGTGGAAGCCGAGAGCTGCCCGCACGTCGCGCAGACACGGATGGCGGCCGCGAGAAATTCCCAGTGGCCCGCCGCTTCCGTGCGGGCCAGCGGCCCAGCCTGCGCCTCCAACGTCGCCGGCGGCGGGGTGCCTCGGCCAACGGGGATCATTCTACCCGACCCCGACGGTCTCTCACTGCAGGCCTTCGCCGCGGCATGGGGTGCCTCGGCCACCGGGGGGCGCCTCGCCCTTGCCCGCACCACCGTGCCCAGCGTGGGCGGTTCGGCCATCGGCAGGGCGTGCCCACTTCCGCCCATGCTGTCGGCCTGTCGCTGCGGGTCCCCTCGGCGAGCGGGGTCTCGCGGCCTGCCTGGGTCGCCGTTTGTCTGGCCTCCACTGAGGCAGTGGAGTGGGTGCTCTGTGTGCGCCGCCTCGGTTGCGGGTCTAGCTCGTGGCTCAGGTGCAGCATGCATCTCTCGGCGCGGTCCGACTTGCGCAGGTAGGCGCACTCGTTCAGCAGCTGCGGCACGCGCGTGGACCCCGCGAAGGCCCCGCAGGTGCCGCCAGTCACCCACAGGCGGTGGGTGTCATGCGCGTGGCGGTTCTACCATCCTGGCAGCGGTGGTGGGGGCGGCGGGACAGCCGCCTCGATCGGCGCCTGGGCTTCGCCTCCGCCTCTCCGTGCGGCGATGCCTGTTCTCGCCGCTGCCAGGGCCATGGCTCCCATCACGGCGGCTATGTCGCCTCCTCGTGCGCGCGCTGGCTGGCCTCGTGATGTCTTGGGCGTGTCGCCCACCGCGGCAGCTGTTGGTCCTCCGGGGAGCTCCTCCCGGTCCTGCGCGCAGGGTGGACACGCCCAGCTGCTGGAGACACTCTTCCTTCGCAACAGGGTGCCGTGCTCTGTGCATGTGCGACGCTCAGGAGGGGAAAAAACACACAGACACAATTAATCGTCGACTCCCAGGAAAGTATGGAAAATATGGGAAGGGGGGGAAGACAAAAACCCAGAAAAGATAGGAAAATACGGGGAATCTTGTTATTTGTGTGTATTTATGTGTGTGTCCCAGGGCCCCTTCAGACGCCTGTAGCCCTGGCGTCCTCCCTGGGAGGCGTGCGCTCCGCGGCGGCGGCAGCCAGCCTCCTGACAGCGGCTGGCGGCCAGGCCTGGGGCGTTGGCGCTGTCTTCGGCCCAAAGCTCAGTGCCTGTCTGCATCGCCGTTTCGATTCACTTCAAGGCGGAGTGAGCGCAGTCGTCGACGAAGCAGGAGAGCTTGAACCTCTCCCCGTCCACGTCGTGCAACTTCGCCCCTTGCTTGGCGAGTGTGCCCGTCACGCTGTTGCCGGGCCTCTCGCGCTCGCCCACGATGCCGCGCTCTCGATTTGCCCGCGTGGTGTGTGCTCTGGCCTTCCTGAGCGCAAGTAGCTCCAGCCCGTAGTCGGTCGCCACCTCCAAGAAGCGGATCCAGATCTCGCGGTATGAGCGCATCCATTCGTAACAGCAACGCTTGTCGTGGTGCCATCCTGTGATCATCAGGTCACAGTTGGTCCAGATCGTCAGGTGCCCGATGCTGGTGCCGATCGCCTCGCAGACGCCTGTGGTTCGGGGTCGTCCACGGGATCGTGCCGATCAGGCAGTGCGACTCCAGGCTGCTGCCGTCCCCCAGGCGCACGACTGACCAGCCCGCTCTCGCTGCTTAGTAGTGGGTCGGGTGCAGCACGGAGCCGTCGAAGAACAGCTCCACGCCCATGGTGTCCCCTTGCTCGGCTGCTGGTCCTCGTCGCTCCTCGGCCGCCCCTAGCGGTGTCGGCGCCATGCTGCGTCCCGTGCTTGCGTTCAGCCCGCGCGAGACGAGCGCGTCCTCACCGCCGGTCGCCGGGCCCCGGGGAGGTGAGGCCCTGCAGGAGCGCGTCGTCCTCGGCTGCCGCGCTCCGCTCATTCCGGGCGGGCTGGGCATGACCACCCGAGGCGCTGTGGCACGCCTCGCCGCCCGAGGCATCCCGCCGGGCATGCGTCGGAGGGCGCCGGCGGGGTGTCGGCCGCCTCCTTACCAGCACGGGCC